GGCCCCCCCCCCCGGGGGGGGGGCTCAATATTCACTTGGCATAGTGAGAAATAGTGAGAAGGGGACTTCGGTTTCAGTTCCTGAGAGAAGTCTGGAATCGTCCGTGGACTTGTGGAATGGCTGGGACATGGACCCCTGGACCCCTGAGGGAGGGAAGGAGGCAGGGAGGGAGGGAGGGAGAACTAGGGGATGGGATCCCTGGATCTGAAGGAGTGGAGAAGTCTGGGGATTGGAGCCTTGGGTCTGAGGGAAGCAAGGGAGCTAAAGGGGTCTGAAAGAAATAATGTTGAAGTCTGGACCCCTGGGTCTAAGTGGGAAAGGGGGACTCAGTTCTTATCTTTACCTGAGGGAGAAGTGGGAATAAGACCCCCTAAGTCTGAGAGGGAAAACTAGATAGATCCTGGACTCCTAAAGTTTGGGTATGAACCCTGAATCGAAGGTGGGGACCAGGCTAGATCCTAGACTCCAGGATTTCAAAAATGGGGGGGGGGCTTCCAAAGCCTGAGGGAGGAGTGTTAGGGTCTGGACCCCTGATTCTAAGGAAGTCTGGGGCCTCCTGAACTGCAGATGTGAGGGGAGAGGGCTGGAACCTGGGTTGTCTGTCCTGTGGGAGGGAGGGCTCTGAGTTCAAACCCTGTTTGCCAAGAAGCTTTAGAGGAAGCTGAATCCCTTTCATCCCTGGGTCCTCCAGTAAACATCCGAGAGGGTCCTGAGTGGGCCCTGGGCTGACTCCGTCAGAGATGACACAGGTCCGAGGGGGCTCGGCAGGGGGTATGGGGGTGGGGGTCAGAGGGATTGTGGGGCTGAGGCCGGGCAGCTGCTGACCGTTTCCTGTGTCAACACCATCTGGACCCACTTCCCAATTCCCTGGATTCCTCAGGGATCAAGGAGGGGGTGGGGGGGTGGGGCTGCCTGGAGCTGGAGAGAGGATTGGGATTGGGGTGGGGTGGGGGGGACACGGTCAAGGCCCTCACCACTAATGACAGGTTTGGGCTGCCTCTGTGGCTGACCTGCCCCGTCAACCCCCCGAGGCCAGACAGGACCCCCCAGGGACAGACAGACGGACACACACAGCCTGGGATGTGCTGACATCACACCGAGCCAGCACCAGCTCGCCCAGGGGCCAGCACACCATCACGGCCCCCCTGGCTAGACCCCCACATCCTAGGGACATCTCAGATGCCTCTAAACTCTTCCGAGATTTTCTGTTCTCTGCCTCCTCTTTGTTTGAAACTGCTCAAGCTGGTCTCCCCAGCACTCATCTTTCCTTGCATCTGTCATGTGACTATGAAATCCTGTTTGTGTTTGTTTGTCTCTATTGTCTTCCGTCATATGGGGGGATTCCCAGAGTCTTCAATCCTGCTTGTCTCTGTCTTGGTCTCATTTCCATAGAACTGGTGTCCCTGCCCTCACCCAAAGAAGGTCCAGGAGTCCTGAGTCCACTCTTCAGCCCTTTTGTGGTCACCCTGGGGAAGATGAGTCTTTTCCCCACAACCCCCAGGGTGAAGAGTGAGGCAGAACTAAACACTAGCCCATGACCCAGACCCAAAAACTTCCTCAAACACAAAGGTCCCCCAATTGTTGGACATCAGAATTTTCTTCCACTTATATAAAAATAAGGGTTTAGTTCCCTGGGTCTGAGGGAGGAGGGCTGGCTGGGGTCTGTTCCCTGGGTTTGATGGAGGAGAGCTGACTGGGGTCTGTTCCTTGGGTCTGATGGAGGAGGACTGGGGTTTAAAACCCTGGGTCTGATGGAGGAAGCCTGGGGTCTGTTCCCTGGGTGTGAGGGAGGAAGGCTGGGGCTTAAAGCCCTGGGTCTGATGGAGGAGGGTTGGGTACCAGTGACCCTGGGTCTGATGGAGGAGGGCTGGGGTCTGTTCCCTGGATCTGATGGAGAAAGCCTGGGGTCTGTTCCCTGGGTCTGATGGAGGAGGGCTGGGGTCGGTTCCCTGGGCCTGATGGAGGAGGGCTGGGGTCGGTTCCCTGGGCCTGATGGAGGAGGGCTGGGGTCGGTTCCCTGGGCCTGATGGAGGAGGGCTGGGGTCGGTTCCCTGGGCCTGATGGAGGAGGGCTGGGGTCGGTTCCCTGGGCCTGATGGAGGAGGGCTGGGGTCGGTTCCCTGGGCCTGATGGAGGAGGGCTGGGGTCGGTTCCCTGGGCCTGATGGAGGAGGGCTGGGGTCGGTTCCCTGGGCCTGATGGAGGAGGGCTGGGGTCGGTTCCCTGGGCCTGATGGAGGAGGGCTGGGGTCGGTTCCCTGGGCCTGATGGAGGAGGGCTGGGGTCGGTTCCCTGGGCCTGATGGAGGAGGGCTGGGGTCGGTTCCCTGGGCCTGATGGAGGAGGGCTGGGGTCGGTTCCCTGGGCCTGATGGAGGAGGGCTGGGGTCGGTTCCCTGGGCCTGATGGAGGAGGGCTGGGGTCGGTTCCCTGGGCCTGATGGAGGAGGGCTGGGGTCGGTTCCCTGGGCCTGATGGAGGAGGGCTGGGGTCGGTTCCCTGGGCCTGATGGAGGAGGGCTGGGGTCGGTTCCCTGGGTCTGATGGAGGAGGGCTGGGGTCGGTTCCCTGGGTCTGATGGAGAAAGCCTGGGTTCTGTTCCCTGGGTCTGATGGAGGAGGGCTGGGGTCTGTTCCCTGGGTCTGATGGAGGAAGGTTGGGTACCTGTGACCCTGGGTCTGATGGAGGAGGGCTGGGCTTTGTACCCTGTGTCTGAGCTTAACCTTCTCAGGGTTCAACACCTGGGACCCTGGGCCTGAGGGGAAAAGGCTGGGGTCTGTGCCCTGGGTTTGAGGAATAGGAGGAGATGGGGAGGTGAATTCTTGAATCCCAGTTGGGGGAGGGGCTGGCATTTGCAGTCCCTGGTATTGGTCCAGGTCTGGCTGCAAGCCCAGTCCCCTATCCCCTCAGGCCAGTCCATTCCCCAGGCTGGTGGCCTGAGTCACCTTGGCTAGCCCCCTTGGTCTGGGGGGGGCTACCCTCGCTGACGCAGCCTTGGGCCCCCCACGCTGACTCAGCCGGAAACAGGCCCCCTGAGGGGCGGAGACCCAGTGGTCAGAAGCCTGGGTCCCAGCAAGAGCAGGGGCTGAGGAAGGGCCCCTGGGGGGCCCCTCAAAGGGGTGGTGTGACAGACCATGAAAGAGAGAGAGAGCTCTTACCTGAGGCGATGAGGTCATGTCCCACCATGGGGGGGCTGTGACCTCACCTCCTGGGGGATCTGAGCAGTTCACCCCCCCCAGTGGTGGCAGATGGGGAGGGGAAGCCTTTAGCTGGCAGTCAGTTCCAGAACCAGCACCCCCCACCCCTACTCCCCGCCACCAGTGTCCGGCCAACGTATTAGACTTGGGTGGTCATCTGCAGAGAGACTTTTTTGATGTCCGTATCATTGTCCCGTGCTCAGAGCCACCTCATTCTCCTCCTGAGGAGGAGGCTTCTGGAGGTGTGAGTCCTTCTCTGTCCCCATCCCTCGAGGGGCTGTGAATTCTGAGCCAATGGCAGCCATCCGTTGAACATGGCGTGCGGGGCATTTCTGCGGTCTGGTGTGTTCTGCTCTTACCTGAGTAGACAAATGATTATGCCCCCCCCCTCTCTGGAAGTGGCTTTGTCTCTGTTCCTAGCACCCACCCACTCACTGTTGCCGCCTTTCCCAGTGACTACCTGTGTGTCCAGTAGTCGTTGGCACACGACTCCCGCTGTAGCATTTA